GGCCAGGACTACATCTTCGCAGTCGCCAATGCAGTTTTTCTATGTCACTGTGTCCGAAGGGCACTGAACAGGGAAGGCCAAGGCCATCTGCCAAGAAGCACTGATGAGTTCAACAACCCTACATCCCCATGTCACCGTCTGTGGCTGAAACATCGCGGTAGGCTGATTAATCCTTCTCCAGGAGCAGTCAAGGGGTGGTCCTTAGGTGCTGAGGGGAGCTCCCGCCGCTACAACTGTGCAGCTGGGCGTAGCTTATCATGCATTGCCCTGGCTGGATGCTGAAGAGTGCGGTGGGTATACTGCATCGGTACCGATGACGTGTGAGATCCAGGCCACCACCTCCTGGAAACTTCGGGCGGTTTGAAAAGTCACCGCACCGAGCTAACCAGGATTCTGGTGGTCACCTACCGACGGGTGTCTCTTCATCACCAGGCGCAGCTGCACAACGTACGCCTGCAAAGGAACAGGACCCGCAAAAAATCACTAAAACGGTGCTGTTTGGAGGACATGAGGCTAGCTGTAGACGCCGGATATTCTGTCTTCATTTGTCCGGTGGCGTAGCCAGCAGAGACGCTGTCCGCAATTTGCACACCCCTCCATTCGTCGGGTTCGTTCGGGCCCATTCCCTCGCTCTCTGCTTAGGCTTTGTTTTACTTTGTTAAGTTTGTTATACGTGATCTGTGCTTTCGTAGCAAGAAACGTCTGTGTTTTGATGGGCAGTATTGAAGTACGTAAGTTTGTGTGGGACGTTTGATCAATATTTTGTACCACTTAGCTTGATAATTGTTCAAATTCAATACGGTTTTACCGTCAGTTCGCATAAAAAAGTGCGCGCGAATCTCAGACCTTGTTCTTGGGAGACGTTTGTGGCGTCCCGTGACGGTCCTGTCGGCTAGTCCGGTCCGGTTGGTCGGGTATATCAATCCTATTGTTGCTGTGACAATTATTGGTGTGTGAGCAGCTACCTGGTCCTCAGTGCTCATAAGTATTCATTCCATTTGTTAGAAACTGGCCAACCAGTCTCTGGCCTGGCCACGTGCCTACTTGGGCGCCCAATACCTCTGAGTGTGGCAAGTACTTGTGCCCTTCATGTGTCTGTGAAAGACCGTGGAAATGGTGTGAAGGCAGCGGAAGGCGACATCACGCCCAATGCAGATTTGGCACGACTCGTACGTCGGGCGCACAACAAGCAGCTGCCGACCCGTGGACACAAACCGGCACCAACCACCAGCGTCACCAGGTTGTGGCCCGACGCCTCACCCCACGGCGGGTCAGTATGGCGCCCCTGGACCGTCCACCGTAAGAAATCCGGCGCAACGGCGGCGTAACCCTACACGCCCTTGGCATACGAACGCCGGGTAGAACGGCTTACCCCGCGATGCTTGGGCGTGAGCGCTGCGGAACCGTCAGGGTCAGCAGGGGGTCTGCGGTGGTTGTCTCAGCCGGGGAGTGGGCCACACGCTCACCAGGCTTTCCGAACGGATGTCGCCCCGACACCTGGAACGCGACTGCAGCCGACTCCGCGGATTCTAGAAGGCGTCAGGTGGGCAAGGAAGATAGGGGGGCCCACCAGCGCGTTCGGTTTGAAGCACGGCGGGCGGTGCCGCTCATGCAGCAGGTCCGTGGGAGGGCCCTCGACAGGGAATTTCTCCATAACGGATCCACATTGGGAACAGGGATGTGCAAGGCATGAATATTTCAAGATCGTTGACGTATGAATTTATCTCATAAATACGTTCAAAATCGGTTTAAGCTTGAATTTTTGCTTCCACGATCTTACACAGCGACCTCCTCGCCCCTTGCGTTGCAATAGCTCTGTCAGCGCGAGTCGGTGTTGCTTGTGTTTACCAATATGGCGGCTGGCTTTACGTAACAGCGAGAGGACCACTTCATTCACCTGTCCTATCTAGTCTGTATATCTTGCTCCCATTCATCCCGCTGTACGCGAGCCAGTTGCACAGCAATTCAAAGGCGTCCTCCATGACTCTCCAAGCTCGTCTAGATTTCGAGGGTCCCCTGTGACGCGTACTCGACAGTCATCTGCGTGCCGTATAAGCTGTGCATAAGCGGCACCAGTGTAACGATAACGCTCGTTTTTGAATTTACTCAAATTGGCGAACCCCGATACACGGCAGGTACTTGGCCGAGGGATGCTACTCGGGATTAATATTTTCACTTGATGTGAAAACCTCTGGAGTAGTCGTTAGTCACGGGTGTAACGCGCCATGAAATCTCAGTTTTTCTACCAGCATCTAGTGATGACTTCAGGTATCAGGGTAAGGGCGTGATATGCGTATAATCCGCCCTACACCAACTTCTTTTCTATCTTGGCGCTACGGGAATTAGCAAAATAGGTCCAGTTTCTTAATGTGTCCAGATCTAAAATACACTTCCCTCAAGTGATATCTCTCACTTCCATGGCGTATGAGACAAAACCGCATTTGATAATGTGCAGTTACGCTAGTATTAGAACTGTTAGGCAGACCTTGTCAATATGAGGTGTCATAGTGTCCCAACCACAAGCGCCGCTGGTATTCATGGTCACCACAGAGGATTTTAAATCCTGTTCTGCGATAGGTCGTGGGCACAGTAGCCCGCCCGCGCTATTGTAACAGCAGCCTCATGTACCCATCGGCGTCTCTGTTAGTGCATTGTCAGAGGTCTTTCTCTTCATGCCGGCAAAGCATGCGTTGACCTGATCTACCAGCGCATCTAAAAGCTCTATTGACTTTGTTACCTTGCCACCGACGTTGATACATTGAGCACTGTGCGGGCTTCCGGGTCTGGTCGTCTCAATGTGCCATTGTTTGACTGCACCGCGTTGGTTGGCTGCATCGGCTGACTGCACGCAACTAAGAGCAGTGTCGAACACGGCGATAGCGCTCACGTTGTGAATATGGACTTCCTGTTATGGAGAACACATGTCAAGCAGCGGCTTCAATTTGGTTAAGAACGCATCCCACTGTCATTATGGTCGTGACTATATTCCGGAGCGGTACATCACTTTTAAAGCGGCGCTGGCTTGGCATACCTCTCTGCTGCTATTCCGTTCCGTATTTCGTTAAGCGAAGAATGGGCTAGTTCATGGCCGCTGCGCTGGCTGGACGCGACATCTGTGTGTTGGATTTGGCTCGGAGAGTTGGTGATAACCGCGTCTACGATGACAAGTCCATGTCCATGATAACATGATGACTCATATCCGCTGAGTAAGTGAAACGTGGGCGCGGACACGGTTTGGGTGAACAAAAAAAGGCTTAACACCTGGCGTAGTCGAAACTCGTCGTACCTGACTTGTCCTCGTGCAGAAATTTACAGGTGAACAAGAGTGAGCAGCCGGGATGTAATTTCCCATTTTTTATTGATTATTTTTCATGAAGCGCAATTTTTATCGTTCAGCCGCTCCCAAAATTAATTTTGAAAGACTACACCACTGCTCCAAACTCTGAAAACAGAGCATGCAATCTGGGGAGAAAACTGTTTTAAGTGCATTTCGGCGGCAGACCACCCCCCCCCCCACGTATTTTGTAAAATTGCATCCCTGTAGCCCTACATGTACTGATAACTTGTGTCTACAAGTACCTGAAACTATTTTACTTTAGTTTTATGACGTAGTCGTACAATCAGCTGGAAGCATTGGCGATCTTCACCCTCTTCGCATAATCATTATCGTCGCAGAAC